GGGTTTCACCATGTTGACCAGGATGGTCTCGATCTCTTGACCTTGTGATCCACCCGCCTCGGCCTCCCAAAGTGCTGGGATTACAGGCTTGAGCCACCGCGCCCGGCTAGTTTTTGTAATCTTAAAGTTCAACTTTTATTACATCTCACCATTTTTGGTTTTCTCTCCCTTTTAAAAGGCATGAAATAGAAATGCTCTCCTTCAATTCATTTTCAGCTCATACAATCTTTTGTTCCTCAAGTTATGTTTGTTGTGGCCTGATATTAACAATGTTTTCTTAAAGGTTTAAAGGAAATATTTTCTTCCAACATAATATTCTGTACATTGCAGAAGGTCTTTTCTTTTGACTTTTGGTAACTGGCCTAACAGATTTTATGTTGTATCAAAATATTTTCTATGCCATTATTATTAAGTTTTGGTTTACTTAGAAAAAAACTGAGATAATTTTTTTTTTAATTAAGGTTATTGCATCCATGTATCTTTGTATACTTTTAAACTCATTGTGACATTCAGTGACAGGGCTCTGACTTCTGGATCTAAAAAGGACACCAAGTTCTGCTAAATCTTAAACCCTGACAGTAATTAAAGCCTCATCTCTAGGCATGGTAGAAGATGCCAATCAATATAAACTGCATTCCTGCAACACAGGGTCAGAAATTAAAGCTATTCAACTCCTCAGGTCTCAGGGACTATTGCAGAAGAGGTGGGCATGAGACCTTGTGAGGGCCAATTTGAGATATAAAGTAAGTTCAGTTTCTCTATAAATGATTGATTGATGTCAAAGGCACACTGATGCAAGACCAGCAGATGGGCTCCTGTGTAATATTAACAAAGTTTCCTTGAAATGAATTAATGAAGTTTCCTCCATTAACCAACTCCTTAATAAAGGTTATAAAGTTTATAAAAGGCTTATGGAAGTTATATCTTATGGTCAAGATTAAATTTTATAGATTGTTTATAAAATTTTGGAAAGAAAATTTAATTGGTTTCATGCTGTTTTTATTACAGCTTGTTTAGAAAATTAAGTCTCCTCTCTGAAAGAATGAAAGTTTTTGTCTTTTTTTGAAATCCTTACCTCTTTGATTAAATGACTTCTTTTACAATGATCTCTGATCCCATTTTGTGATTTAAGTGTTTTAAACATTTGATATTTGACAAACTTTCCAAAATCAAATTATAAATTATATCTTTTTCTGACCTAATTAATCCTTTAAGATATTAGGTGCCCTAAAGCCCAAAAGTGATATATTTGGCTTATGTGGTATAAAAATTACAAAGAAAGAATTGTTAAATTTGAAATGGTGTTTGGTTTTCTTTGGGCCATATTTGTATATATATTATTGGTATGTGTTCCAAAATTATGGGAAACTCCTATAATTCTGATATGACTTAGTGTACATTATCAATTATTATAATTATGTTAAATTATTGTGTGCCACAGAGGCAAAAAAATTTTGTTGTCAATTGTATCTTGGCTATGGCTGCCCTAAAACTTTTTGTCATCCACAAACAATTGTTATCTTGTTTGGGTCCTCTTTAGAAGGCAGTTTTATAATCAGCTCTAAAACTCTAACAGGAGGTCTTGAATGCAGGTTTCTGACAACTTTGAAGATTGTGACATCAGATTAGATGAAAAACTTCTGGACTGATGGAGAGCTGAAATGTTCATGAATATCAAGCAGAACAGGAATTAACTGCACGGATTGAGGTAAAAGAAAACTGAAGCAATTTTTTTGACTTTTCTTAAAATGTTGCTGATCCTTTTTTCAGAGTCAAGGAAACTTTTATTGACAGCTTTTAACAATTATACTCCTATGAAAAAAAAATTGAAGCATATTTGTTTCTCTCTACCTGATTTCTCCAGAATTTGGTAACTATTTGTGAGCATTCTTAACTGATGGCAATATAGTTATTTGTGTAAGTGCAACAGGAATCTTTTCACTTGTAAATGAAATAGGACACAATTGGAGAAACTGGTTATTTTAACAAGGCTTTGACTGGAATGGTGTACTTTCCTGTAAGGAATCAAACTTGACTTATAGAGCCAATAAAATTGCCTTTGGGAAATCTGGCCTCATATCTTGTCTGCACAGTCCCTGTAGAGGGTTCCTGGCCTGTGGTAGGTAAAGAATGTCACTTTCTGATAGGCCTAGGAGCCCCAAGTTATCTTGGGACCTCAAGAAGAGAAGAATTCATCCAACTCATGGATTTGATGGTACAAATCCATGGCTGGGATTGGCCTTAAAAAGTCTTATCTGAGATTCCATGAAAAAAAGTTCCATCAAAGCCAATTTTAAAAGCCTATATAAAAAATAATTATTCTTGGCCAGGTGCAGTGGCTCACGCCTGTAATCCCAGCACTTTGGGAGGCTGTGGTGGGTGGATCACGAGGTCAGGAGTTAAAGACCAGCCTGGCCAACACAGTGAAACCCCCTCTCTACTAAAAATACAAAAAATTAGTCAGGCACGGTGGCATGTGCCTGCAGTACCAGCTACTTGGGAGGCTGAGGCAGGAGAGTCACTTGAACCCGGGAAGCAGAGGTTGCAGTGAGCCGAGACCATGCCATTGCACTCCAGCCTGGCTGACAGAGCAAAATTCCGTCTCAAAAAAAAATTATTCTTGCTGCATTTTATACAAATAATCTGGCCAACTATAATAAAGCAAATTGGTCCTACTATGATTTCTCTTTAGTGAAAATTGGAAACTAGAGAAATATTATGATTCAAAAACTATAATACAACTATTGTTAGATTATAGTCTTGCCTAATGTTTTTCAGTTTTTATTATTTTCCACAGTATGGGCTGAATTCTAATTTTTCCTGGATACAAGTCTCCAAAACAATGTTTTCATTTTTTTCCTCCTTTCTTTTCCTTCACCTCCCCCCATTTTTCCTAATTTTAAATCTGTGATAACTAAGCTATGCTTTCTTAAATCCCTGCAGACCAAATCTAGACAACTTAAACTTCAAAAGAAAATAACAGCACCTATTTACATACATAAGCCACTTTCATACCTACCTACTGATATATGGACTTCAGAGTAATGTGGCCTATATTGATTTTCCAGGATTGTTCTTTTGTTTGTTGTTGTTTTTCTCCTTTCCTGCCCCTATTTTCTCTTCACGGGACATAAGACTTCTCAACCTGCTAAAAATGAGCTTTCCTAATAACTCTAAGAATAAACCATCCTAGCCATGAGAGATCATACAAAACCTGAGACCAAAGGTTCATTTTCTTATAAAATGTTTTCTCCAAAATATTTTTTAAAAGGGGGAAAATGTGAAAGGAAAATAAATCTTGGGGCCCCCAAATCATTAAGCTAAAGGGAAAGTCACGCTGGGAACTGCTTAGGGCAAATTTGCCTCCCATTTTGTTTAATATTCAAAGTCATCCCTCTGGTCATTGAGATAAACGCATATCTCATTGTCTCCTTTGGAAAGGCCAATCCGAAACTCAAAAGAATGCAATCATTTGTCTCTCACCTACCTGTGACCTGGAAGCCTTCTCCCTGCTTGAGTTGTCCTACCTTCTGGATGGAACCAATGTACATCTTACATATATTGATCGATGCCTCATGTCTCCCTAAAATGTACAAAACCAAGCTGTTCCTGACCACCTTGGGCACATGCTGTCAGGACCCTCAGGCTGTGTCATGGGTGCACATCCTCAACCTTAGCAAAGTAAACTTTTGAAATTTACTGAGGCCTGTCTCAGATATTCAGAGTTCACACAAAGTTTTGCCATATTGGCCAGGCTGATCTCAAACTCCCGTCCATAAGTGATCTGCCCTTCTCCACCTTCCAAAGTGCTGGGATTACAGGTGTGAGCCACTGCACCCAGCCAGCTTTCTCTTTTGAACAGGATTTTCATGTAATATTAAAGGATAAAAAAAGCTTTTTATTTGCCTTTTGAACAAGTGACAGAAAATAAAGGGGGTATGGGGAAAAGAATAGAGACAGATTCAGTTGGCCTCATGCTGTCTTTATTGGGTTTTGTTTGGAAAGTTGAGTCTTCTTGGAGAAATATCTATTCAGATCTTTTGTGCATTTTTAATGGGGTTGACTTTTAATTATTGAGTTTTAAGAGTTCTTTATATATTCTGAATACAAGTCCTTATCAGATATATGACTTCCAAATATTTTCTTCCTTTCTGTGGGATGAGTATTTCTGGACTTTCCACTCTATTCCATTGATCTATTTCTGTCCTTGTGCCACTGTTACATTGTCTTAATTGTTGTTGTGTAGTAAATCTTAACACTGGGAAGAAAGTGTTAGTCTTTTTTTTTTT